CTCATAAGAGAAGTGATAATATATATAAGATATATGTATATATGATATATGTATATATGTATGTAATGTATGTATGTACGTTGTACAGTGAGGGAGCGCTGCCGCGTGCTGTTCGCCTACCAGGCTGAGAACGAGGACGAGCTGACACTGCGCGAAGGTGACGTCATCACGCTTGTCACCAAGCACCTGGAGGACGCCGGGTGGTGGCGCGGGGAAATCAACGGCCGCGTCGGTGTCTTCCCGGACAACTTCGTCGAGGTGCTGCCACCGGACGAGGTGAGGAGGGAGGAGGAGGAAGGAGGAGGAGGGGAAGTAGTGGGAGAAGAAGGAGAGGAAGAAGAGAAGGAGGAGGTGAGAGAGGGAGCAGGGGGAGGAGGAGGAAAGAAGGGAAGGAGGAGGGAAGAGGGGCAGGAGGTGAGAGAGGAATGAAGAGGAGGATAGAGTGGAAGGAGGAGGGAAGAAGGGGAGCAGGATAGAGTGGAAGGAGGAGGAAAGAAGGGAAGGAGGGGGATGAGGGGGAGAAGGAGGAGGGAGGAAGCACCTGGAGGAAGCCGGGTGGTGGCGCGGTGAGATCAACGGCCGCGTCGGTGTCTTTCCGGACAACTTCGTCGAGGTGCTGCCACCAGACGAGGTGAGGAGGGAGGAGGAGGGGAGGAAGGAGGAGGAGTAGGAAAATGGAGGGAAAAAGGAGTATAGAAGGAAGGAGGAGGGAAGGGAATAAAGAGGGGATGATGAAGGAGGGAAGAAGGAGGACGATGGAAGGCGGAGAAGGAACAAGAAGAAAGGGAGGAGGATGGCAGATGGTGAGAAGTAGAAAGCAAGAAGGGGAGCAGGATAGAAGAGGGGGAGAAGGAAGAGACGAAGAAGAAGAAGATGGTATATCTGATATCCCTACAATCGACTGCTCTCTTGTTTCTCCCCAGCCAAAATCCAAAACGGCGACGCCTACGCCCGGTAAGAAGCCGCCGCCGCCGCGACCTGACTCCATCGTGGGGTCAGAGGTCGTCCGATCTCACCGCCACTCACTAAAGAGGGAGCCACCGGTCAAGCCGCCGGGGCCGCCGATACCGTTCCACAACACCACGCCGACGACAGGTGAGAGGCCGGGACGGGGGGATCGGGAAACGAGCGAACGCGATTGCTGCTAGGTGGCGCTGCTTGCTTCCCGCGGACGGGGGAATCCGTCGCTCCGTGGCTCCCCCTGTGCGTTTTGCACCACATATGCGCTTAGTCCGTCAGGGTTCGTAGCGGGTCTTCCAAAGTCTTATAAGTACTTATTTTGCCAAAAGTAAAATAAGGGCCCTTATTAGTACTTATTTTTGTTGAAATCTTAGAAAAGTACTTAATAGTTCTTATTTTTTGCTAAAGGACCATTTTCCAACATTTTCTGTGTTGAATTTCGGCGAAACGGCATTATATAAATATTATTAGCGTACTTTAATAGTCGGTGATCTATCAGAAATCGCCTAAAAAAGTCTTATTTTGGCCTCCAGAAAGAGTCTTATAAGTCCTTATTTCAACATGTGTCTTACTACTATGAACCTTGTCTGTGCCGTATCAGCTTATCCTATTTCCTGGCATATGATATAGTATAATTATTACATTATTACATAATTCAGATATTAATTAACTACTCTGCTTAATGATGATTCTGCTTCTTGCAACGTTTCATGTTGCAGATGGGAATTGCACGGGGAAATTGTTTCATCTGTTTATTCCGGTTCATAGTGTGACACGGAATTTTTTCAGACAAATCATACAGATGTCAAGATCAGTCCGAGATCAACAAGCCAGAATCAGTGTGAAGAAGTCAGAAGTGGCACCATGCACCCAGTTCTACTCCTCCATGTTTGTCCGTGATTTTCTCACGATGCTTGCGGATTTTTTTCCAGATAAATCTGACCAGGTGGCGGTGGTGCCTCCGCTGCCCGGCCGCAAGCCGGTGCTGCCGGACCGTCCGGCCCCTCCCGTGCCAGCTGACCACACAGACAGCAACAAGGAGAATGAGGTCAATCACAGACCTGGTGAGCGATTGTTAGGGGTGGCAGCAGGGAGAAAATTGCTTTTTTTTCACGGGAGTTCTTTTCCAAGTCTGTGGTAAAAATAGCTCTCTTCGGAAATTTTACGGGAGCGATTTTGAGCCTCACGGGAGCGATTTCGGAGGTTTGAAGAGCGAAACGCTCATCGATCCGTGTATTTTTTACCCTGTTGGCAGGGGCAGTGAGTTTGCACGTGTCTTTGCTGTGTGTGTGTGTGTGCGTGCGTGCGTGCGTGCGTGCGTGTGTGTGTGTGTCTGTGGCTGTGTGTATGTGTGTATGTCTACTGTGTGTGTGCGTGCGTGCGTGCGTGCGTGCGTGGGCGCGCGTGCGTGCATACGTACATGCGTGCGTGCATACGTACATACGTGCGTGCGTGCGTGCAGGTGTGTGTGTGTGTGTGCGTGCGTGCATGCGTGCGTGCGCGCGTGCGTGCGTGTGTATTAGACAAGGCTACGTGTGTACACGTTGCTGTGCTCTGTTGCAGTGGAGGAGAACGGATTCGACGAGGTGGCAGCAGCCGGCGAGAAGCTCACACATCTGACGGCCAGCCGTGCGAAGGCCCCCAGCAGACGACCGCCGTCCACCGTCTTCAAGGAGCCGGTGAGTGGCGCCATCTGTGGCGCACAGACGAATCGATTTCATTCTTCAAGATTTTCATCCTCTACGATATATCTGCATGCCCGAGTTTTCGGAGGGTTTTCACGCTCACGAGTGATCGCACTGAGTGACGTGCAATTGTTTTTTGCGCGGGCTACGCATGCATACTACGTACCGTATTGTTCGATCTAGTGTTGGAACGCTATGCATGTGACCTGAGTTTTTTCAGGGTTTTGACATTCTCGCACGCGCGTGAATCGCACCGAGTGACGTGCACTTGTTTTTCGCGCGGCATACGAGCCGGCCGACGCTTCGGCGGGGGGCGCCACTGCATGCTGTTTTGAGTTTGATTTCGGCTTGTCTTTGCATGTGTGATTGTTCGGTCAGACGGGGGCGGCGGCGGCGGCGGCGGCGGCGGAGACGGCTCCGGTGAGCCCGGAGGCTCCCTCTGCCTCCCTCTCCCCAGCACCGCTCGTGCCACGGAGGAGCAAGAGAAAGGTAGAGGAAGCCCTGATAGGCACGCACGTGCACGCTGCTGCTGGTGATGATGATGATGATGATAGTGATGATGATGATAGTGGTGATGAGGATGATGATAGTGGTGATGAGGATGATGTTGATGATAGTGGTGATGATGATGATGTTGATGACGATGACGAGGGTGATGACGATGACGAGGGTGGTGATGATGATGACAGTGGTGGTGGTGGTGGTGATGATGATGATGATGATGATGATGATGATGATGATGATGATGATGATGATGATGATGATGATGAGGCTAATATTACTGCTGCGGTGACTGCTACTGCTACTGCTACTACTACTGTGGCTACTGCTACTACTACTGTGGCTACTGGCTCGCTATATGGCTGTGGCTGTATCTGTATCTGTAGCTGGTATCGCTACTACTCCTCAGAGCATGTCTCTCTTTGTCCTCGTTTTTCCTCACATTATTTCTATCTACTTCTCTCTCTTCTCTCTCTCTCTCTCTCCTCTCTCTCTTCTCGTCCTCCTCTCTCTCTTCTTCTCTCTCTCTCTCTTCTTCTTCTCTCTCTTTTCTCTTCTCTCCCTTCTATTTACTTACTCTCTCTCTCTCTCTCTTCTCTGTCGTCTCTCTTTCTCGTCTCTCTCTCTCTGGTCTCTCTCTCTCTCTCTCTCTCTCTCTCTCTCTCTCCTCTCTCTCTCTCTCCCATCTCTCTCTATCTCTCATCTCTCTCTCGTCTCTCTTTCTCCTCTCACTCCCTCTCTCTCGCCTTATTTCTCTCGCTTCTCTTCTTCTCTCCCTCTCCTCTTCCCTCTCTTCCTCTCCCTCTCCCTTTTCCCTCTCCCTCTCTCCCTCCTCTTCCTTCTCCCTCTCCTCCTCTCCAGGGTTTTTGTTTGTCTCTTTGTTTGTTGTGGCGTACGCCTTGTTTCTTCCAAAGTCTTATAAAGTACTTATTTTTAGCCCAATAATAACAATAAGGTCTTATTTTTACTTATTATTGGTAAAATTCTTTTAGAAAAGTTACTTACGTATTTCCTTATAATTTTTTTTTATAAACTTGCTTTCCGACTTTTTTGACTAGTTTTATATGTTTTGTTGTATATATAATACGGTTTTATAACTTAAATCTGACTGCGCAATTGCTGTATAGTTATAAATATTATTAGTTTTTGTTACTTCAATAGTCGGTTTGATCTATCAAAAAACTCGCAATCCACCTGTAAAAAAGGGTCTTATTTTTGCCTCCAGAAAGTTTTTTTCTTATATAAGTCCTTATTTTGAACATATGTCTTTCTACTATGAAACCTGCCTTTCCCTCTCCCTGTCCTCTCCCTCTTCCTCTCCTCTCCCTCTCTTCCGCGTCCTCCTCTCTTCTCCTCTCCCTCTTTCCTCTCCCTCTTCCACTCTCCCTCTCCTTCTCTCATCTCTCTCTCTCTTCTCTCTTTCTCTCTCTCTCTCACTGTCTCTGTCTCTCTCTCTCTCTCTCTCTCTCTTCTCTCTCTCTCCTCTCTCTCTCTCTACTTCCCTCTCTTCTTCTCCTCTCCCTCTTCTTCATCTTCTTCTCTCTTCTCTCTCTCTCTTCTCTCTTTCTCTCTCTCACTTTTCTCTCTCTCTCTCTACTTTCTGCCCTTCTTATCTCTCACGCTCATTCCCTCTTATCTCGCCTGCTTGCCGCGTCTCCCTTCGTCCCTTCCTCCCTCCTGCCCTGCTCCTCTCCTGCTTCCCCTTCGCTCTTCTCCTCCCTTCCCTCTCCTGCTACTCGCCTCTCTCTCTCTCTCTCTCTCTCTCTACCTCTCTCTCCCTCTCCCTCTCCCTCTCCCTCTCGTTCTTCTTCTTTCCTCTCTCTCTCTCTCCTCCTCTCTCTCTCGCCCTCTCTCTCTCCTGTCTCTCTCTCTCTCTTCTCCTCTCTCTCTCCTCCATCTCACTCTCTTTCCTCTCTCTCTCTCTCTCTCTCTCTTCTCTCTCTCTCTCTCTCTCTCTTCTCTCTCTCTCTCTCTCTCTTTTTCTCACGCCTCTCTATCTCTCTCTCTCTCTCTCTTTCTCTCCCTCTCTTCTATCTATCTCTTCTCTCTCTCTTCTCTCTCTCTACTCTGCTCTTCTTCTCTTCATGCTCTCTATCTCTCTTCTTTCTGCTCCCCCCTCTCTTCTCTCTCTCTCTCTCTCTCTCTCTCTCTCCCTCTCTCTCTCTCTCTCTCTCTCTCTCTCTCTCTCTCTCTCTATCTGTCTCTCTCTCTCTCTCTCTCTCTCTCTCTCTCTCTCTCTCTCTCTCTCTCTCTCTCTCTCCCTCTCTCCCTCTCTCTCTCTCCCTCTCTCTTCCTCTCTCTCTCTCTCTTTGATGTGCCCTGCCTCATCTCATCATATATTTATCTCTCGTACAGCCGTCGCACGTGGAACAGGAGAAGGACGAGCACGCGGACACCGAGAAGGAGACGCCGACGAAAGAGGAACCGATGGCTTCTCCCCCGGTCGTGACGAGACGACCTCCTCCGCTGGGAATACGTAAAGAGAAGCGTGAGTCTCATCTAGAGAACTGCGTACATACTGTATACGCTGTATATTTCGCGGTGGTTTAATTTTGCGAATTTCGTTCCCCGACCGCGAAAATAGCAACACGCGAATAATTCATACCGAATAGTTCATAGTTCACCGACCGCGAAATTGTCCTTCAAGTCTGAATTCGCGAGAATATATGTACGCGAAAAATATGGCGTATACGGTACATGAATCATAGAATGTCGAGTGAGGTCTTGCAGCGTTGCGCATGTTAGGTGAAAGAGACATTCGATTTAGTTTAGTTAATTCCCTGAAACGGAGATTGTAGAAACAAATTAGGACGTAAGAATTCTTAAAAAAAACACACTGAGTTTTTGATTCCGCCGTCGCGAATACACCGACGTTCGCTTGTTTTGCAGCGGAGGTGCGAGCGCGACCGCCCAGCCTCGCGACGACCCCGACCGACCACCGGGTGGCGCCGCCTGCCGTCTCGACGCTCGCCGCGATCGACGAACTACGACAGGAGCTTTACGCGCTGCGCGATTCGTCGTCGTCGTCGTCGCCGTCGGCAACCGCGGAACTCGCCGCCCTGCGACAAGAGAACGTCGCGCTGCGTCGCGACGTGGGGGCGCTGCGCGAGGCGTCGGACGCGCTGCGACAAGAGAGCGCCGCGCTGCGGGCGCACGTCGCCGATCGTCTGCTTGCGATGGCGGAGGAGATCGACGAGGAGAAGAAGGCGAAGCTGGCGATGCAGGTCGAGATCGCGCGCATGAAGAAGATCGTCAAGGCGACCGCCGTCCTCGAGAGCCCCGTCAAGTAGCGGCGCCCCCTGGCGGCGGCAGGGGGTCAGCGGCGACGCGTGTTCTGTCGGTGCGAGAGGGAGGGGGTGTCGGTGCGGTCCGTCCGATGGGGGAGTGTGGATGGCGCCCCCTGGCGCTGGTTTCTGTCGGCGACTCGCGCATCTGCGGTGGGCGGGGTGCGGTCACGTGGTCGGCGTGTTCCTCTCGCGGGGGAGTGCGGTCAGCGCCACCTGGCGCTGGTTTCCGGCGCCGACGCGCGTCCGTCCGGCGGGAAGGAAATCGCCGCTTTTTTTCTATTACTCTCTACATTCCGTTTTCGGCGGCGAGACGCGGCGTATATACTTCGACGCCGTTCGTTTTAGCGGCGAGACATTCCGCGGCTAGAGGGCGCTACGTTAGCGCGGGCGGTCGCGACCTTGGAGCGAGATTTTTTGGGGGAACTGTTTCTCTCCCGTGGCGTGCACCATTTGTTTACGCGTAACCGCGGCGACAGTGTCGCCTCGACGACATTCCTTGTTATTATGTAGTCGTGTCTACTTGTGCGCGTGCGTGCACGTGTGTGCGTGCGTGCGCGAGCACGCCGCGTATGTGCGTGTATCGACGTATTTCCGACCTGGTTTGAAATGAAAATCTGCGATTCTATCGTTATGTACATATATAAAGAGCGATTATCAACGACGGTTTAAGTACGTGACGGTGGGCGTGTGCTCGCGCGCATAGACGATTCGCCGTGTGCTCGGTGCAGGTAAAACGCAAGCCTGCTGTAAATATATGCATACAGAAAAACCAGTGTAACACATTATATAATAGTATTTGTACTTCGGGGGACGTGTTGCCATCGGAAACAGGGATGCTCTTTCGCACGTGAATCGCTCGTGTTCTTGTTAACGTCGTTGCCGTGGCAACGCGTGCACGAGTTGTTTTCTTTCAGACCCCCGGCAGACAGTGTGCCCTTTTTCATTGTACAGTACTGCCCACGTTATGAAATTATTACATTCCAGAAAATCGTTTCTTACGGAAATGTCTGCAACGTGAATCACGTTGTCTGTGTTGACTTCCATTACGTATATATATTTAGATATGCATTCCTATGAAAGAAGTGTACGTCCGGCCAAACGAAGAGGGTAATTCCTTGATATCTCCGCTAATACAAGCACAATTATGAATGGAATGCAAGAAAACATCGGTGATCATTTTACAGTGACTGTTTGTTTAATGAATTAAGTAATTTGCGAAAAGAATTTCAGAATAAGAATTGTTTTCTTGCACCTGGACGTTCATTGGACGTAGAGACTGATTATATATGCACAATTGTGGGTGCAAGTAATCATTGTCAATATATATATATTGATTATTCAATGATTTAATGGAAGAAAGAGTGTTTTGGCATAAAAAAAAAACGTAAAAACACCGTGCCGTCGTTCATCTGCCTCATTACCGTCTTGGTCGCCCTGGTAACGTCGCTTCACCGCAATATTATTAAAGGTATGGAATACAGGTATAGGGATGCTGCAGGATAGGGTGTTGCTTGCGTGTGGTTAGCATGTTGTTAGGGTGTGTCGTTGGTTGGGGTGGGGTGGGGGCGGGGTTAAGGGTGCACACAGTGGTTAGTCTCAGGTCTGGCATCGTGTGTGAGTGTTAATGGGTAACAGGCTATAGAATTTGTCGCATGTTGTCAAGCGGTCGAGTCACGACCCTGCATCGTTGTCACGTCACGTACGCGTAGCATCCCGCAATGATGGCCGGATACGATGGAAGTGCTCTTGATTTTTGCACCCAAATGTTTACAAAGATTATTTTACATTATTTTAAATCTCAAGATATTTATAGTTCGTTTTGACTATGAAGTGAAATGAGGCATGTACAAGAATTCAAATGAATAAACTACATAGCGTAGAAAATACAACTGACAGTCTTTTCATGTATCTAGCTCGTATTATCATAGATATAGACAAGGCCGTACGCAGGAAATTTTCTGTAGGTGGCAAAGGTACTCCCCATGCCCCCTGTGCCCTAACGTTTCGCAATTTCACATTTCTTTATTTAAAGTGTAATATTTCTTTTATGATTTAAGATAACCTTTTGTCACATTTCTATTTCATTTCTAAAAGTGTACAGTATTTGTCCCATTAAAAGGCATACTCTGAAAATCTCTAGGGAGGCAACTGCCCCTGCTGCGTACGGCCATGGATATAGATAACAGTCTTCTGTATCTATATTCTATTCTATTTCAGAATCTGTATCTATTCTATATCTGGTATTATCTTATCGAATGATGTGAGGAATTCTGGACTCGAGTCACCAGTGTGGCTCAAGGGGTCGTTGTCGTATCAGGTACTACAGATATGTACCCGAGGTACATATATGTATACACAAAGTGTACCAGACTTGTACTACAGAAGTGTACACTAACCCTAACCCTAACCCTAACCCTAA